CCTACGAATGAAACATTTAAGATAACTGTGGAGTGCATAGACTTTTTTTCAGTTCTTTATTTCACATGTGAAAAATTTAAGTAATTAAAAAAACAACTTTTAAAACTTGGCATCCCCTAGAAGAATAAACTTGCCACCCCTGATATTCCCTGAAATTCACTTGGAAACCTGTCCCCTTTACCTAAGTGACGTAAGCAGCAGATACTCCACAGTGCATGGGTTTTTTTTCTCAGTCATTATCAGATATGTTTATTTGTGTCTGGTCCCTTGTCTTTGAGACTAGTTAGACCATGACAATTAATGCAGGGTCTCGTATAACCCAGTTTCTATGAATTTTATAAATATCTTCCCCAGACAAATGCTCAAATGAGGAAATTTCTGTCAGATCAAATGCTGCAGCCTGTACTCAAGGGCAGTTGTCTCCTATTCTAGCTGTAACTTTTATGTTTATTCTGTCCTGTATTCCCATTTCATTTAGCCTGACTAAAATGCAAATAAAAACTTACAGTTTGAACAGCAGTAAGTGTTAATGTGGCAAGTAAGCTGGGATTTTTTTTCTCACAGTACTTAAATTATAACTAACTTTACATCACTGGAATCATGTTGATATAAAATCATTGGGTGAGAAGGCTTTTGGCCAGAAAAGATGCTGTTTGTTTATGGTTGTATTTTTCAACTCTAAATACTTCTGAAAATGGGGTTACTAATTGATACATGCCTACATATGAAGATATTTTAGAAGCTTTGGTTTCAATCACACTTCACTAAATTCAAAGTAACTGCATCAGCTTCAGTACGATTCTTAATTTACATGTCTGTCTGAGAGTAGAATCAGATCCTTTCCTTTGACTTCAGTGTTCATTTTGGACAACCTTTGTTTCTCTTGAAATTATCTTTCACAGTTCAGCTCCTAACTGAAGAGCTTAAACTTGCATACAGTAGATAGCATAAAACAATATAAATTGCATAAGAGAAACGAAAGTTTTGGCACAGGTAAAACAAACTTTGAAACCTAGAATTCACAGCAACTGCAGTACAGCATTTTATTAAATAAAAATATCTCCTTTTGTATCCATCAGTGCAGGGCTTTTCTGTCAAGCTACTACAGAGATCACAATGTGGAACTGTCAAAACTCCTACACAAACTGGGACAACCCCTGCCATCGTGGCTGAGACAGGAGCTACAGAAAGTAAGATAGCATTGAAAAAAGGCTTTTGAAATCTCTCTTCCACACTTCAGTCATCATACCTAAAGTCTCCAGTAGCTACCAGAAGGTCTTGTAAGATATACCTCTTCAGAAAAGAGTAAGAGATAGAAATTATTTCCATATGCTGGCATGTGGATTGTGAAAATACATGTGTTTCTTAGAGCTCTGGTGGGTGAAATCTTCTGATAAACATTTCTGGGCCTGTGGACTTGTGGACTACTGTGCACATATGTGGAGGTTATTCGCAACTGGTATAAGCTTCAGAGATACACAGCCTGTCCAATTTCGTGGTAAATATTTACATTTTTATATATCAGTTTAAAAGTATTGTGTCTCATGTAGGTTTTGTAGCCCATTGTTAGACCGCTGACAGTTTTTCTTACTATTTGATTATTGTCTTGCATAAAATAAGAGAACTTAATGTAGCACAAAATGCCAAGTGTATTTCTGCCTTTGGAATCAGCTTGCTAATACCCAAAGTATATACTAACAAGGGTGAGAAGTACAGTTATCATATATGATTTAGCTATGCAGAGCAACAAAATACATGGAGCAAAATCTGGAAGCCACAAGCAAAAACAGTGTAGAAAAACACACACACAAAAAAACCCATTACCTATGATTATAGCCTGGAACAACAACCCCTTACAATGTGGTAAGGACCTTTGTCCATAATTGCCACGTCTGATTTTGTACTGACTGAAATGGCAAAATAAAGAATATAGCCGTTATCTGAACAGAAATTTAATTGGACATGTGAAGCACAGAAGTTGCAGTATAATCCTTATGAGCAGTATTTTACTTCAACAATTGTGAACCAAACTGAAGCAGTGCAACAAACAGTCTTTCACTCCTGGCTTCTGTGAGTGGCCAGATCTGGATACTGCACTCTGGGCTTACCTTTCTGTGAATCAGGAGTGACTCCACTGAAATGAATGAAAAACTCATAATGAGCAGAAACATATCCATACTTAGATCGCCTTAATTTGCACCACTATTTTTTTCCTTAATGTATTTGCCTTCAATCTAAGCTTTGTGTATTCCAAGATTCTTCAACCTGATCAAAATTGTAGCATCTTTCAGTAACCTTCAGTTTATGTCAGCTGCAAAAATCTATCAGATTTCCAGATGAAAACACTGGTTCTCATTCGAGACATTTTAAACATGTTTGGTATTAAATATTAGGAATAAGCTTTAGGGGGAAAAAATTAAACACGGTGTGTAATCGTGGCAGAAAATTACGCTCTAATCATGGGAAAACGCAAATATCCAGCCTGACGTTTATGTGATACATTTCAGTGATGCATCTCACAATGCATCAGTTTAGATGTGAGATAAAGTCTAATTAATAGTACTTAAAAGTTGAGAAAGAAGATCAATGAAAACTTCAGCTGAGTATGGCCTTAATGCTTCTCCACTGAACTTTGGCTCTGAGTCTTTCTAAAGGCATGAAGAGGTAGTGAAAACAAGAGAGAACTGCAGTACTAAATGCAATGCTTTTTACAGTAGCTCTATAATGTTCTAATAATTTTTTTTAGGGTGAATAGTTAAAAATATGCATCAAATGGTGGAAAAACTTTGTACGTCTCAGTGCTGTTTTACAACATTTATGTAATCATATAATTTAACTTTCAAGGTAATGGAATGGAAACCAGTCTGTTATTCCCTAAATAGAAAACAGATGTTGAGATCCTTACTGTACCTCTAACTGGTAATCTTTATTATTTATTGATTTTGTCTATGTAATATCTGGTTTTGATAGGCCTGTAAAGAAAAAAATCTAGACAAATTTGATGTATATAACAATATTCTTTACGCAGCACATTTTTGCTAAGGGAATATGCATGATGAGGACCTACTAGAGTAGACATTTTTTTAAGATGAACATCTTTATTATTTATTAGAGAATTTTCATTTCACGTTAAATATTCACTGTCATATGGATTCCTCCCAAAAGCTGACTTGTCTTAAAATACTTCTTAATTGATAAAAGAAACACTCTGGATTCTGAACATCTGTAAAAGCAAATACTGTGCATGCTATGGACAGCTCATGCGTCCTGCAAGCATCTATATGGATTTGTTACAACTAAATTGAATAACTGGAGAAAATACCTGGGGTTTGCATCCTGGCACGATTGATATTACCCTTGATATAACCTGATGTAACATCACTCAATTTTTAAAAAATCTACAGGGATTGCACGAAGCTCTTGTTTTGTGCATTGCTGCCTCAGTTACTCCATGTTCTTCAGAGGAGCAGTTATAAAATAGAAGAAAATAGGTCTCACCTTCATGGTGAGAGGACCCTCTGCACACAAATTGAGTGCCTCCTGCATGCAGGAGGAATGGGCTACAGCCACATTCATAGTTCATTCTTTGTTTTCAGGAACTCTCTTTCTGTCTCCTTTCTCTGGGAAATCAAGGCCCCTGCAGAACAAGAATGAGCGGGCAGTCAAGGACAGAGTGGTGATGGGGACATGCACATCGGTCGCATTGCCCCTCCAGAAATTTTACAACAGACAAGGTGACATGTCTCAGATCTGTGGACTACTTCTGTGAAGTCCTCTCTGAGGTATGGCAAGGAGGCCCCTACAATTGTGGGTGATCTGGTAAAACAGCCCAACTTCAGTCGCCACGTAGCGCTGGGAGGATAAGCGCCTCCACATGCACAGCCTTGGGTGGACAAGGCTTGCTTTGGCAGCTAAACACAAAGCTCATCCTCCAGGAAGGAATGCCATGGTGACTCTCAAGTCCTGATGAGGAACAGCAGGGGAGAGCTCTCGTATTGTCCCAGTGTTCTTCCTAAGGGAGGGAACTGGGAACAAAATGAATGAGTTCCTAGGGAAATCTTCAGTGGATTCCTGTGGTAACTTTACCTGAGTTAATACCATGAACAAAGTAGCTCAACCTTGTGGTCTGGAACTGTGCATCTGAAAGGACATGATCTTGGATCAGCATAAGTCAAAGCTCCTGTTGAGATGCAGCTGTTAAGCACTAGCGTCTTTAGATTCACAGATTCATCTTTAGATGCAGGATTGGCTTCTTATACACTAGGTGGGCTAGTCTCAGACACAAAAGCAATAGAGAAGCAAAGGCAAACTGCTGGTGCTCTTTGCAGTTCTGAATTTCTGATGTTCACTTATTACTTGTTTATACAAAGATGGTATGAAGCCACTTTTTTTTTTCCTCCAGAACTGTTCTATTTAAATATGTTCTTACATTTAACAGGAGACTTTAAAAAACAGAATGACTTTTAGTGTGCAATCAACTTGGTGAAGAATGAAGAGTCTGAGCAAAGCATGCAGACAACAGCTAGATGTGTTATTCCCCAAATCATAGGATGCACATGAGTACAGCTGAGTAAGCAAGTCATACAACATGAATTATCTAAGTTTAACATCTTCTGTTCACAGCTTACCTACAATCACTGTTTGATTTCCAGAAATAGACTATCAATATTAACACTCTTCAAAAATACTGATTCATTACAACGAATTTATATTTGCTAGTCAAAGTCAGATGTTTTATTGTGGTTGGTAACAAAGCCATGGTTTCTGTTCACCTGGTAGGTAACTGCACAAGCAATTTCTGTAACAAATGCTTGATTGTGTGAGCTTCACCTTTATTTTCATAAATATGATTCTCAAATTTGCTTTCTGCAGACATCCGTGCCATTAAAAATCAATGTGTGATTATAAGCAAAAACTGACCATGGGGGGGGCGGGGTGTGTAAACACAGAGCCTGATAAGAAATCACTTAATTATTTGAGCAAACATTCCTGAAAATACTGTGATATTTTCCCAGTTCTACTTGTGCAGAAAGAATTAGTTTAAATGATTTGCAGACTATCTTGTACAGAATATCCTTTTTCATTGCTTAAAAATGTGAAACTTCCTCAGGAAGAAATTAAATAGATATTTCAATGTTTATAGATGTAATACTCTTGTCATTCACATTGAATGAAAATTGCTGGAAACATTTTTCTCAAAGTTTTTTAAAACAAAAAAAATAGATATTATTCTGATAGTGGCATGGTATCAGAAGTGCAACAATAAACTCTGATAAGAAAATGTAGTGCTGTGTGGAAGTGATTTTTATGTTCACAAAAGTTGTCCTTTTCCAGGTTTGTTAGCAGCTATTGCAGCTTGACACTGAGCTACAACACAATCCAGGAGCACAAGAAGCAGCATGAAATGTTTTCAGAAATGAAAAATATTGCATACTCTCTCTGTGAGTGAAAATTACTGCTTTACGCAGCTGCTCGTTTTACTGTGTTTGCTTCCTGCTTACTTTTTATTTCTTGTGCCAGAAATTGCTAATGTGCTATAGAAACACTTCAAGAGCTTACTATTTTTAAGATAACAAGCAGACTTTATTCAAATTATTCGCCTCGGGGATTCAGTAGTTGTGCCAATGCATCAGTGTACGCAGACATGAGAAAATCTTTCTTAGGGGAAACCTCTAAAGATGGTTCAAATGTCCAAAAGAAAATTCACTGTTCAACAAATTCAGAACAGAAAAGTGTACTATCTAGCTGGGCAAAAGCTGCTTAATATCTTCATAGAGGTGTTGAAAATAGCAAACCTATATTAACAAAATGTTCCATTCATTACAGAGAAATGATGCAACCTGTAAGTCTAAGCTTCTTTTGTAATACCCATCACTATAATCTTTAACAAAAGGGGAACAGTAAAGTAATAAAGGTACTAAGCAAAGGGAAAAGATCCTTGCTACAAATAATACCTGCCTGACCTCTGTCTCCAATTTATCTGGTTTCATTTAATGTTTCTTTTTAGTTCTTCCAATCCCAAAATTCTTAGGGCTTAAAGGCAAAAGCCACTTTTTTGTCTCTGTGGACCATATGGATGAAGAAAGTACAACAGTCAGTATCAAAGGACAAATCACAGGAACAGGAAAGTAATTAACACCTGAAACCAAGGGCTAAGGAAACATGAATGGAGGAGGAATTTAGACAAATTAAGGGCGAT